AATGTTCAAACTACTGCACCATTGCACTCATTGCACATGCTAGCAAAATTATGCTCAAAATCCTACAAGCTAGGTTCCTGCAGTATGTGGACTGAGAAGTACCAGAAGTACAAGCAGGATTTTGAAGAGGGAGAGGAACTAGAGATCAAATTGCCAACATACACTGGATCATGGAGAAAGCTAGGGAGTTCCAGAAAAACGTCTATTTCTGCTTCATTGACTATGCTAAAGCCTTTGATTGTGTGGATCACAACCAATTGTGGCAAGTTCTTAAAGAGATGGGAGTACCAGATCATCTTATTTGTCTCTTGAGAAACCTATGTGCGGGTCAAGAAGCAATAGGGAGAACTGAACACGGAACCACTGATTGGTTCAAAATTGAGAAAGGAGTTCAGCAAGGCTGTATACTGTCGCCCTGCCTATTTAACGTATCTGCAGAGCACAACATGAGAAAGGCGGGGCTAGATGAATCACAAGTTGGAATTAAGATTGCCGGGAGAAATATCAACAACCTCATTAGATGATGCCACTCTAATGGCAGAACGTGAAGAAGAACTAAAGAGCGGAAAGTGAAGAGGAACTAAAGAACTAAATGAGGGTGAAGGAGGAGAGTACAAAAGCTGGCTTGAAACTCAACATTAAGAAAACTAAGATCATGGCATCTGGTCCTCTCACTTCCTGGCAAATAGATGGGGAAGAAATGGAGGTAGTGACAGATTTTATTTTCCTGAGCTCCAAGATCTCCGCAGACGGGGACTGCAGCCAAGAAATTAAAAGATGCTTGCTCCTGGGGAGGAGAGTTATGGCAAATCTAGACAGCATACTAAAAAGCAGAGACATCACCCTGCCGACAAAAGTGCGTATAGTCAAGGCTATGGTTTTCCCAGTTGCAATGTATGGCTGTGAAAGCTGGACCATAAGGAAGGCTGAGCACAAAAGGATTGAGGCCTTTAAATTGTGGAGGAGACTCCTGCAAGTCCCTTGGACTGCAAGGTGATCAAACCAGTCAGTCCTAGAGGAGATCAACCCTGACTGCTCTTTAGAAGGCCAGATACTGTAGATGAAACTCAAATACTTTGGCCACCTAATGAGAAGGAAGGACTCCCTGGAGAAGAGCCTAGTGCTGGGAACGATTGACAGCAAAAGAAGAAGGGGATGGCAGAGGACGAGGTGGCTGGATGGAGTCACTGAAGTAGTCGGCATGAGCTTAGGTGGACTCTGGGGGATGGTGGAGAACAGGAAGGCCTGGAGGAATGTTTTACATGGGGTCGCATTGGGTCGGATACAACTGCGTGACTAACGACGACAACAACAAAATGTGAAAAAATAAAAGGTATCAAAATCACAAGATGATTATTAAAAAGTGTAAAATGTTAAAACAACAATGAATTTTAAAAGCTAGATCAAAAGGACACCTCTTCATACCCTTTCTGAAATCCAAGGGTGGAGCCAGTTGTTCTTGAGGGAGTGACTAGGAAGGTGTGAAGTCATTTGAAGGCTTCAGAGGTTAAAACCAACAGCTTGAATTGGCCAAGAAAGAGCCTGGCAACAAGGAGAGGTCATTCAGGTCGCTGAGTTGCAGCTGGATACCATGTGCTGATGAGCAACCAGCTGGTGCATTTGGCAACACTTGAAGCTTCTGAATAGTGCAGGGGTAGCGTCAAATGCAATACATTGCAATGCTCTGACTGCGAGGTGAACAAGCCCCGGATAACTACTGCAATCCAGACTGACTCAGAAGAGCTAGAAAATGTGAGGAAGAGGCATTCTGGTGGGTAGGGAGGGAAGGATACAATTACCTTGACCCCCTCCCACCCTCCCCTTCCAAAGTCACCTTGCTGGGAAGGCTGAACCCCCACCCCCCAAGAAAATGCAGGAGATGGGAATACGGGCTGGCAAAAATTGTCTGTCACTTCTCTGGCCCAGGCCACCTCAAGCCGGCATAGAAACTGTGGGAGCCTCTGAGGACAGAGTTTGGGGGCACAACTGGGGCAGCGCTCAAAATTATTCCAGCTATTCACCCTCTGATTTAACTGTATCATTGTTCAGAGTAATTGCAAGCACTTGGATGTCACCCATTTGTTTTACCAAAAGTCAACAGTTGTCGTTGCATTAAACCATCCCCCTAATATGACAAGAATTGTAATTCTTTGAACTGCCACTCACAGGAAAATAATAGCAGTAACTCCACTGCAATCATGAAATCACCAGACCTTTCATTGCAATGGACCCCATGCTCTCATTTCCAGGATGACACCTGGGAAGATGCCCTTCCTTGCATTAAACTGCCCCTCCAACACTACGTTTACTTCCTAATCAGGAATACCCAACATTCTGGGGCCAGAGGGCACTTTTGGAATTTGAGTGCCGCAAACTGTCACAAAATGGCTTCCCACCACAAACCACACTTTCCCCAGAAGGCCAATTGGGAAGACTCAGTGAAAGCAACTTGCTCAAGAACGCATGCAAGGTGACGAGAGGGTCGGGTGCAAAACCATTCACCGGGAAGCCGGCTCTCTGCCCCAGCATCCACTTCACAGAAGATGAGCTGACAAAACTCAGGGACAGGTAACTAGGACAAGACGGGACAAGAAAGCACAAGGCAGGGGTGGCATCTGAGCCCCAATGCCAAATCACAAGGCCCATCAAGATCCATTTCAGTGAAGACAAACCAGCGATGCTCAGAGAAACTTACAGGAAGAGCATCCTCCACACAACTCAAACCTGCACTCACACTCACACATCCACAAACACCCCAGTGTAGAGCCTGCTCCACAGCCTGTCCAGGCAAACAGGCCAAGCATTGCAGCCCAAGTGAACAACACTTTCAGGCCCTTTGGGAATGTCGGATCCTGATGGGAACTTGGACACATCTCACCGAAGAACTGAAATTACGCACCGGCATTGCTTGGATTCAAAACCCAAACTGCATTTTCAAATCGATGCTTTGCCATGCAAAAGAAACCTCTACTTTATCTCCAGCTTCCTCCATGCCTTCCAGAACTAATATGGCAGCTGGTCAAGCCTCCTAACTCAAAAGATCCAAAGGCGCAAGGGGCAGCAACTCCCAACCCACGGCACTGTTCTGATCATCGATTCCGCTGTCAGACGGGGCAGCACAGGGCCACTGGGCCACTGCAAGGTCCTCACCAAAGGCCTACCAAAGAACAAGATTTTATTTTTAGAATTTAAGGAACAATTGGATTCCATATGATGCCCCCACACACCAAAGCAGAGCAAGTGTTCAAGCATCCCAATCCCAAACTTACCTGCCCAGATAAATTGAGAAGCAGCTCCTTCACAGTCCTCGCCTCCCCGTTCTCGGCCGAGGCAGGCACGCTGGGGCTGAACACCATGAGGTCGCTCTTGGCTCCGGCCTCGCCATTCACCCCGGCCAGCAGGTGGCTGTGGCGATTGGAGTAGGACCAGCTGCCCACCTCGCTGGCACAGACCAAGGTGGCTGTGCCAGGGCCGTACGCCACGGGCTCCTTGGCCTGGCAGGGGCATTGCAGGGTGGTGTACACAGCAACTGCCAGCAGGAACAAGCCAGACACCGAGCAGATGGCAATGATTAAATGCACATTGGCAGAGTCCACCAGAGGCCCTGGATTCCCGCCTGTCTGGGAAAGGTGTGTGTCCCTGTCGTCAGCCAGAGAATTTACAAGAAGTGACACGCTAAGAGTTGCTGTAGAGGTCAGCGCTGGCTTCCCATGGTCCTTCACTAAAACCAGAAGTCTCTGGCTGCTGCTGCCCTCCATGCCATCCAGGGTGCGGGTGGTGCTGATCTCCCCACTGTACAGCCCAACCCGCCAAGGACCAAGGATTGCCTCATCCATCTCGTAGCGCAGCCAGGCGTTGTAGCCGGAGTCCGCGTCCAGGGCACGGACCTTGCCCACCACCTGCCCAGTGGCCACCGGAACCACCAGAGAGATGGAATTGTCCTCTTGCCCAGCCACGGTGGGTGCATTGTCATTCTCATCCACCACGAAGATCTGAATGGTCACGTTGCCGCATAGGGAGGGCAGCCCGGCATCCCTGGCGCTCACCTGGAACTCCAGCAGCTTCAGCTCCTCGTAGTCCAGAGACTGCAGGGCGTAGAGCTTCCCGCTCTCCGAGTGCACCGAGACGTAGCTGGCCAGTGGCCAGAGCTTCTCATCCATCCAGTAGCTAAGCAGGGCGTTCTCGGCCAGGTCCGGGTCCGAGGCGGACACCGTGAAGATGTGGGCTCCGGGCGGGTTGTTCTCTCGCACAAAGACCGTGTAGGAGGGCTGCTTGAAAGAAGGTGGGTTGTCATTCACATCGCTGATGGGTACCACCAGGTTGCTGCTGGCAGACAGCGATGGTGCCCCCTGGTCTTGTGCCATCACCACCAGCCGGTACTCCGCCACCCGCTCCCGGTCCAGGGGCTCGGCCACCACCAGCGAATAGTAGTTCCTGAAGGTGGAGGCCAGCTGGAAGGGCAGCCCCGGGGGCCACAGGGAGCAGCTCACCTGCCCGTTGGCTCCCGAGTCACGGTCTGAGACGCTGATCAGGGCCACCACTGACCCTGGTGTGGAGTCCTCTGGAACAGGGGTCAACAGAGACATCACTGAAATTTCAGGCACATTGTCATTCAGATCCAGCACCTCAACCAAAACTTTGCAGTGTCCTGATAATGGAGGATTCCCCTTGTCTTTTGCTTCAACTTGCATTTCATAAAAATTCCTGTCCTCAAAATTCAGATTCCCTTTCACACGGATCTCACCAGTCCTTTGATCAAGGACGAACATTTCTTCCCCATTGCTGCTTAATGTGTACACAATTTCCTTATTGGTTCCCTCATCTAAATCGGTGGCGTTTACTTTCACTGCCATGAACCCATCCCCTGAGTTCTCTGGCAACTGGACTTTGTACACAGACTGGTTAAAGACTGGAGGGTTGTCATTTGCATCCAGGACAGTGATAACCAGCTGGACCGTGCCGGTGAGCCTTGGGTGGCCCCCATCGGTGGCACTGAGTAATGCGTAGTGCACAGCACATTCTTCTCGATCGAGGGGTGCCTTTAGTACAAGAAATAACGATGAGCTCTGTCGGGGATCCTCTGTTACCTCCAGGTGGAAATGCAGGTCTGAGCTAACCGTGTACTCAAGCTGAGAATTCGCAGCAATGTCTTTATCGGAAGCTCCCTCTAGAGGAAACCGTGAGCCAGGAATGCTCGACTCTGCGATATACAATTGCTTCTCTGGAAAAGGGAAAGCAGGAGCATTATCATTGATGTCCACGATCTCCACTTCCACATGGAAAACCCGCAGGGGTTTGTCCAAAAGCACCTCGAGGTGAATAATGCACATGGCAGTGCTGGCACACAGCTCCTCCCGGTCTATGCGGGAATTCACAAAGAGGATCCCATTCTGCCCATTCACCTCAAAATAGTCCCCCTGTTCCTTGGACACCATCCGGAGCATCCGTGGCACCAGCTCCCCCACCTCCAGCCCCAGGTCCTGGGCGATGCGGCCCACGAAGGCGCCGTGCTGGGACTCCTCCGGCACAGAATAGCGGAGCTGCCCGCTCCCCAGTGCCCAGGCTGCGTGGAGCAGAGCCAGCCTCAGCAGCTGCCGCCTCCTCAGCAAAGAGCCTGCCAGGGGAGCAAGCATGGCAAACACAGGCTGCAGTGGCTGCATTTCTTAAAGGAGCAAAGAGCTCACCGGACCGGCTGCCTGTGGGATGGGCTCCTCTGGTCCTGTGGCGACGCGTCTGATGCTTCGTCGTGCTGTGACAGGTAGGAGTTGCAGTCACCTTTGAGGGAGGAGCGCTGAATTTTCAGAGTTGCTTAAATATTTCCTTAGGTAACAGTGACCCCTAGTGACTGGATTGCGAAATGCAGTAGCAGAGCATTACTCTCTATGTTTGCATTTCAAATGGTTCGAAGAATCTTCTCCCAATACATAACATTGTATGCAGTGTTACTTCCAAGTAAATGCAATGTTTTTAGCCTTCATTTGTCTTCCTCCTACAGTTGATTAACGTGCTTCAACTGTTGCAACATCTTCTTTTTGGGACCTTGCTTCATCACTTATTCAGTCTTCCTTGTGCCAGGCGTTGCTTTCCTTCTTCAATTGAATGTTGAATGTTGAAGCATCTTTTCAAATGATAAATTACTTATGAATTTTGTAAAAGAAGGATATGTACGTGATTACAACTTAAAGTGAGCCCACAGCAACCAGGGCTGTGTTTGCAATGCGATGCATTTCATCCACCAGGTAGGACAGAAGGTGGGACGAGGTGACCTCAGTCCCCTTGCAAACCCCGGTCAGGAGGCCTTCAGGGGATGGTATGCAAGTGTTGCTTCCAAGTCACGCCCCATCCAGATAGCCATACCTGTCCCAAGGCTTCCGCGCCTGGTTTGTCAGCCCATCCCAAGGTCATGGCATCATTCTTCAGCTTTCATTTCCTCCTATATTTGCTTACCTGAGACTGAGTCCCACTCGAACTGCCAGGAGTTACATGCAAATAGGAATGGCTAAGTCATGGATCTGGCTTCTCATGGTTAGGAGAGCTCTTCGTGTGATGAAGTAAAGCCTTCAAGCAAACACATACACCTGCTAGAGTTGGACAAGCTGTCCAAGAAAGTCTAGCCTGCTTATACCACCATATGACTGGAGATGGTACTGCAGGCTCCAAACCCACTTAAATTGATTAAAATGCATTTATGTGCTTTTAAAAAAGCAAGGAGCCCTAACTGTCACACCCTTAGGGATTGTTTAGCATGCATGTTGTATTTTGGCTGTCTTGGTTCTATAGCACTAAAAATTCACTAGGAAATTTTCCCCATACAATATTCTTAAGAGCAGAAGACACCGTACATCAGAAGAGCCGTTGAAGAACAGTTCAAACATTTTGGCACAACGTATGTCAACTTTTACAAAGCAAATATTCATTGGACCTCTAATTCGCCTTCTTGTTTGCTGTCCAGTGTGGTGGGAGCCATGATACAAGTAAGTCAAGTTTATTGTCATATGTGCAGCAACGTAACCTGAACTTTATATTATGTAAAGAAGAACGGCCAGTAAAACCCTTTCATGGATCTGAGGATGAGCAAAAGATTGAACACCATACAACCTGGAAGCTCTTGCATCAGATTGAAGCAATAAAGACTCTTGCCGATGTTAAACATTTCCATCTGATGTGGCATCTATTTTTAGTTTACATAGAAGCAATCAAGGCACTTGCTAAGGAAATGCACTGAACGTAGTGAAATATTGTAAATCTACAGTAGGAACCATCAGGCATCAACCTGAACCCGCTGAGAGGACGTCCCTGGGATGACAGGGCAAAGCAGGCTCCCTCGCTGCACAAAGGGAAGACGTCATGGAAGAAAAGGGCATCTGCCCACACGGGGCTCCCCAGTAGTGCCCGAGACACCAAGGACACCGCTCCACCACAGCCAGAACTTCAGCAGCAGGAGAGGCAGCGAGGTGGCATTGCGGAGACAGACTGGGGAAGGCTCCAGCTGTGCAGGATCAACCCCCACCATCCTGCACACATGTCCCTGTGATGGGGGAAAAACTGGCAAGCATGGAAGCAAATTTCTTCCCCTCCCTGAGAGCAGCGTGTGGGAAAGGGAGAACATGGAGGAGCCAGAGCCAACCGCAGCACTGGAAGTAGCGCACCCTCTGCCGTGCGCCCCTCCAGAGTCCTCTGCTCTCAACTCAAGGCCAATATTAGACTGGCGAGTTACAAATAAGGTGGCGGATGCATTCAAAGGTCATGTGTGCCTTCCACCATTCCAATGGGAGCACATGATGTACCTTTCCAGATGAACCTGAGAGCAGCTCTTCCCATTCCTAACCTCCCCATCGTTGGTGAAAGGACATTGTCAGAAGTGGGCTGCATAGATCTGCATAATACACCAGGCTGCTTTAGCACAGATGGGCTGATATTCACATGGAGCTACGGCAAATCCTGAAGATACAAGATACTGCAGTTCACCAATTATTTTATGAAACGGTCAGCCAAATTCATGGCAAGTTCACACAGAAGCCCCACTGATGTCAAAAGGACACTTCAAAGTAAGCGTAAGGTGAGGCGTATGCCATTAAATGGATATGCTACAAGGAAGCCGACCGGTGCAGCCCATCCGCTCTGCTGCTAATGTGTAAAGATGCCATCTGCAGACTTAAAACTACCATTTTAATTATTCCCTCAACTACAGGAAGCCTGCAAATTGTCTTCTGGGCAGGAAAGTGGCGTCTTCACACACCATTTTCAGGATGCAAAGTGCCTAGAGTTCCAGGAGGAACGCGCGCTCCGGACACGTGAATTTCTGGAGTAGGCATGCCCTGCAATGCATGAAGCTGCAACTCAAGAGGAAGGGGATTCTCCAAAAAAAAGGCCCTGTCAAACTAAACGATGTAAGAGAAAATGAGCACATGGGTAATTTTCGACCTAACATCCCAACCTATTCTTTTCCATTCCCTTCCGTTCCATCCTTTTGCGCAGAATTAGCAGGAGAGATCATTTTCCAGGAATGCAAGAATGACAGCGTGTCCCACAGGGGAACCCATGGCCAGCACTAACCGTTGCGCAGAGCAGGTCCTGCTGCCGCCCGTTCTCGGCCGAGGCAGGCACGCTGGGGCTGAACACCATCAGGTCACTCTTGGCTCCGGCCTCGCCGCCCACACCGGCCAGCAGGTGGCTGTGGTGGTTGGAGTAGGACCAGCTGCCCACTTCGCTGGCGCACACCAACGTGGCGGTGCCAGGCCCGAAGGCCACGGGCTCCTTGGCTGGGCAGGGGCACCGCAGGGCAATGTACGCAAGCACGGCCAGCAGGAACAGGCCGGACACCGAGCAGATGGCCACGATCAGGTAGAGGTTGGCCGCTTCCTCCGGGGCCCTCGTGCCCTCGCCAGGCCTGGGCAGCCAGATGTCCATGTGGGTGGCCTGCGCGCTGGTCACCAGAGACATGCTCAGGGTGGCTGTGACAGAGCGCTGCGGCTGGCCGTGGTCCATCACAAGGACCAGGAGGCACTGCTCCGGCCCGCCCTCCGCCTCGTCCACGGCACGCCGGGCACTGACCTCCCCACTGTACAGGCCCACCTGCCACGGCCCGCCGGGGCCCCCGAGCAGCTCATAGCGCAGCCAGGCATTGTAGCCGGAGTCTGCGTCCAGGGCACGGACCTTGCCCACCACATGCCCAGCAGCCACCGGGGCCACCAGAGAGATGGAATTGTCCTCTTGCCCAGCCACGGCGGGGGCATTGTCGTTCTCGTCCACCACGAAGATCTGGATGGTCACGTTGCTGCACAGGGAGGGCAGCCCGGCGTCCCTGGCGCTCACCTGGAACTCCAGCAGCTTCAGCTCCTCGTAGTCCAGGGACTGCAGGGCGTAGAGCTTCCCGCTCTCCGAGTGCACCGAGACGTAGCTGGCCAGCGGCCAGAGCTTCTCGTCCATCCAGTAGCTGAGCAGGGCGTTCTCGGCCAGGTCCGGGTCCGAGGCGGACACCGTGAAGATGTGGGCGCCGGGCGGGTTGTTCTCCCGCACGAAGACCGCGTAGGAGGGCTGGACAAAGGCCGGGGCGTTGTCGTTGACGTCGCTGATGGGCACGGCTAGGCTGCTGCTCGCGGACAGTGACGGGGCCCCTTGGTCCCGCGCCATCACCACCAGCCGGTACTCCGCCACCCGCTCCCGGTCCAGGGACTCAGCCACCACCAGCGAATAGTAGTTCCTGAAGGTGGAGGCCAGCTGGAAGGGCAGCCCCGGGGGCCACAGGGAGCAGCTCACCTGCCCGTTGGCTCCCGAGTCACGGTCCGAGACGCTGATCAGGGCTACCACTGACCCTGGTGGGGAGTCCTCTGGCACCGGCACTGAGAGGGACGAGACGGACACCTCTGGGGTGTTGTCGTTCAGGTCCAGCACCTCAATGACCACCTGGCAGTGTCCAGACAATGGCAAGTTGCCTTTATCTTGTGCAACTACCTGGAGGTCATACACACTGGCATCTTCAAAGTCCACATCCCCAGTTACTCGGACTTCCCCAGTGTGGGAATTGATGCCAAATATCTCTGTGAAACGGGAGGGTACATTACTGCTGAAAGAATAAGCAATTTCCTGGTTGGTCCCTTGGTCTGCATCTGTGGCATTCAGTGTAATAGCTAAGGTCCCGGGAGCAGCATTTTCCAACAACTTTACCTTGTAAACAGACTGGTTAAAGACCGGAGGGTTGTCATTCGCATCCAGCACGTTGATCACCAGCTGGACTGTGCCAGAGAGCTCTGGGCGGCCCCCATCTGTGGCGGTGAGTACCAGGTGATGCACCGGGACCTCCTCCCTGTCCAAAGGCTTCTTTAACATTATGGTCAAAGGTTTACTGTGTTGGTCATCTGTTTTCTGTTCTACAATGAAATATTCATCAGGCCTGATTTTGTAAGATAGCAAAGCATTAGTACCGACGTCAGCATCAGAGGCTCCCTCTAATGGAAATCTGGTACCAACTGGTGTAAGTTCTGCTACATTCAGAGTATGTTCATTGGCCATGAACATGGGAGCATTATCATTGATGTCCGTGATCTCCACCTCCACGTGGAATACGGCCAGAGGCTTATCCACCAGCACTTCCAGGTGGATGGAGCACACCGGGCTCTTGGCACACAGCTCCTCCCGATCTATGCGGGAATTCACAAAGAGGATCCCATTCTGCACATTCACCTGAAAATAGTCCTTGGCTCCTTTGGACACCATCCGGAGCATCCGCGGCACCAGCTGCCCCACCTCCAGCCCCAGGTCCTGGGCGATGCGGCCCACGAAGGCGCCGTGCTGGGACTCCTCCGGCACCGAGTAGTGGAGCTGGCCGCTCCCCAGTCGCCAGGCTGCGTGGAGCAGAGCCAGCTGCAGCATCCGCCTCGCCACGGGGGCCCCCGGCCGGGCAGGCATCACAGGCGGAGGCACAATGCCCAGCAGCCTCCTCTTCCCCAGAAAACCCTCCGTAGCACAGGCGCAGGCGAAGCCCCGCGGCTCATCCAGCGGGCACAGGCGTGACCAGCTGAGCCGTCCCAGCGGCGCTCCCGTTGCCGCACCAAAATCTTCCTGCGGATCCGTGGAGGAGCGCCGCCTTTGCAGCCCGGCTTAAGTAATTCTTTATACAGCAGCGCCCCCTCGTGGCCAATCCCTGAAATGGCGAAGCTGACGAGCACCTTCAGTTTTATCAAATGTTTCCAATCAGTCATTGCTTTCCTTCTGATTAATCCTTAGTTATTTATTCCGTTTGATGTTCTTATTTATCAAGTGCTTGCCATCCGTTACTGTCTCTTTTGCTGTTGCATAAGTTTTCTTTATTGGCATGAGTTCATTTTAGATCCTTTTTCAGGTAACCCTTGTAAATTTAGGAGCATCTCATCCATCGTGTTTTTTTAGATGTTCACCAAGGATCATTCAGTTATACACCTTAGAATGCACATGTGAGTGTAATTTCTTTGTACTCGTTAACCCTAATTGGGCTTAGCAGGAACCCAGCGTTAGTTGAAACTGATTAGTTTGTTCTCTTTTTCCCTTCATTCTATTTCTAGTAGAAGATGCCTGTATGAAGTGATCCACTTTCTACAAGAGCAACTTCCTTCTCCACAATTCCTGCTCCACAGCCAGTCCATGTTGAAAACTCCTGCTGCTGTGAAGACAGTGGAGATGTGAACGTGTGTATTCGTTTTGTTTTCCTCTCATCCTATGATGTATGTTCTTTGCTAAGGTTCTTTTGCAAATGTTGTGTGTGGCACATGAGAATATAATGAGAATCATTTGCAAATAACAGGTGTGCCATGAGGAAAAAAGTGGGGAGGAAGGAACAGCAACTGCAAAAAAGCAAAACAAAACAAAACAAAACCAAGTGTCTGCTCTTCTCTGTCTTTTCTCTGTTGCTGAAAGAAGAGAGTGTGCTTTTTACTGAAATACAGTAGACTGCTGCAGTTCTAAAAGCTTGGGCAAGGTCTAATGAGATTGTCCAACAGAGCTCAGACCATGCCAGTCTTAGGGATATGACCCTAATACAGAACCATGTAAGGAAAGATGACAAGAAGTAATTCTGTGCTTGAGCAGAAGAGCCCCTTCCCTTTCTCACCTCCTACCAGTACTTCCGTGTACTGGCTGCTATGCACATGGGTCATGTATGCAGCTCTGATGTAGTGAGCCATTGAGACAGAGGAGGAAGAGAGCAAACGCTCAGCTCCAGGAGGATTCATTCTACGTACATAGCTGGCTCCAGAGCAGAGTGTCTCAATAGGATGTCAGTTCTAGTCCACCTGAGATTTCTGCTACAAGTTCTTCTCTCTTGAGTGCTAGCTTGCCCAGACAAAACCTTTCATGCTCTCTAGCCAGTATCCTGCCAAGACCACAGAGGGAGAGGTGGCCCCTTGGGACTTTTTGATGAGGTCTAGCACATCCTCATTTTTCCACAGGATCATGAAGATGATCCCAGGTGTGCTGTGTGAATCCATGTTACACCGAATGCCTATTGAAATGGCTTCATTCCTTCCCAATGGGCACTGGAACGCAGCTGGTGTGGTGTTGTTTCTCTAACATGCCACCAGATGGCACTAAACCAAACGGGGTTGCTGCTTAGAGAGCGTTCCTCAGGACTTGTCTTTAAATACCCTGGTGGTCAGTCCATACAAAGGCACCATTTTTCCAAATGACAGTTTAAGTGGACCGGGGCATTTTAGGATACTGAACTGTTCTCCAATAGCCACAGGGAAGGACACTGTGGTCACCATCCCTCTCACTGCAACTTCTGACTAAATGTTCCAGGTAGAAGGCAGGGAATAACACACATTTCTCATGCCTACAATTTTCTCCCAGCCAGATAGACGCCTTTCTTGCTGTTATTTGCAGAACCAGTGGGTGATCTCTGGGACCAACTCGTCTTCCCTCTCAGACTTCCATCCCAACTCCTTGTTCAGGTTGCTCTGGCAACAGCTTCCTTTGGTGTGGCCAGTGAAGCGGCCTTGAGATTCAGCCAGAGAGCGCTCCGGAGATAGTTGCTGCAGGGTGAGTGCCTGGGCACACCAGCATCACGGCAAGGCTGCTGTCCTCACCTCTCCACCTCCCTTTACGATTCCAGGCAAGGACCATGGAAATACAACCATCATTAGCCCGCACAGCAATATGGAGCAGAACCAAAGGTTCTCCAGCACAATAAAAGAACGAACATATAATGACAATGTAGTTAATCGTGGAGGTTTTTTCTTCTCAAATAATTAATACAAAAAGTTGTCCTCTTCAGAGCTCTTACATGGGTAGAACACACTGGTTTGTTTGCTGGATTTTTATCCCGCCCCATTCACCATAAGGCTCCCGCACACACACTTCTGTGTGCCTTCTGTTCCTTGCCAGCCATCTTCCAGGTAGCATAGCCTGTGAACCCAGAATCCAAAGTCCTCACATCAGCACCACCTTCACAGCCGGTCACTTACCTGGAATATTTTTCCCCCCTTCTTATTCCTCTTGCAAGAACTGGGAGGATGGCTGAGAAGACTATCTGGGCCCCAAGGTTCTTGAGTCTCCTTTCAGAACTTCAAACTGATGTGATTCCTTTGAGGTTCTGTTGGGTGGTATCCTTTGTTCCTATGTAGACTAGAAGAAAGGGATGGGTGTCCATGGGCTTTATGAGTTTCAGCAGACTTTCAGTCACATCTCTAATCCAAGCTCCAGGGAGGTGGCATCCCTGGAGACCACATGAGTCATCACAGCACACTTGGATTTCAATCCCATGCAACAAGGAGCCTCCCACAATGAGCACTCTTCTTCTTTCCTGGTCAAATGTCTTTCTGCATTGCACTCCCTGTTCGCAGGTTCCCTTGTAATTCTTCCTCTGCAGTCGGTTACCTGGTCTCATCCTCCAGTGCTTGAAAGCAGTTTCTTAACTCTCCTGGTTCCGCTGGTGCAAAGTGTCACCTGGCTCCTTTTCTCTGAACTGTCACCCTTCTTCAGGGAGTTTCCTCCTCACTGACTTTCCTCAACTCAGCCGTCTTCATTCCCACCTCAAGCTGCTGTCGCTCTTCCATCTCTGGTGCTCTTGCAGTTCCACCATTCTGTCCAAGAACTTCTCACATTTTTTAATTCCTTGGAGGGCAGACACCTGCCGCTCAAGCGCTCTCACTTTCTCTTCTAATATTTCAAGTTTGGGGTCACTGCAGGTGTGCACCATGTTGGTCTTGAGGAGGAACATAAGAACTGCACACACATTGCAGGTCACCACACTGGAGACTCCTTTCCATCCCTTGTGTGCTATACAATAAGGAGGGGGAATAGTAATTGATTTTCACATGCCATTTGGGAGCTGGTTTGGTCACTCTTTCCAAGCTGTGCCCTCTTCTTCACTGGAATTTCAAAATACTCCTATTGCCTCTGGATGTTAGTCTTTCTTTCTAGGGATAAAGATAAAACCCTGTGTCACAGGGAGAGGATGGAGAGCAAAGAAGGGGGGAGGCAAGTGAGTGCCTTACCTGTCCCGGAGGGTGGGCTCTCAACAGGGGTCCTTTGTATGTGCCAGGCATCCACCTGGACACCAGGCCTGTCTTCAGAGCTGGCCTCTGCTTGTGTCCAGTGCCTGCCCCCTTGCTTTTTCTAAGTCCCTGGCCTTTATACTATCCCTCTCTGATAAAGAAATCATTGATGCCTTACACATAGGGAAATGGAAAGTTGGACAATGGGGGCCGAAAGAACGACAGATATTGCCAGTGATGGGTGCGTCCCCTGAAGCAGCATTCTCTGCTCTCCAGCAGGATCTCAGGGAGGGGGGAGTGATTTGGCAGGGATGGGGGCCAGCACTCCCACTTGAGGCCTGCAAATAGCAATAGCTTTCCAGTCCCCCACAGAATCAGCAGAGCCTTCTCAGGCCTTTCCGGGGGTGGCTTCCTGAGTCAAGACCGGTCTCCCCAGGAGGCCCAGAAAGCACCCTTTTCTGTGCTCAGCAAAGAACCTTTTTTTAATTTTCTTGAACTCCTATTACATCTCAGTTAATTGTCTGATGTGCACTGTTCAGAAATTGCTTAATCTCTACTGGTCACTTACAAAAGTATTGCTTCTAATGTTTGCATTTGAAATAGTTTTATAGCTATTTGGATGTTTTATAAGTCAACCTGAGAAATGTTGAAAGGCGGAGTATAGATCCTTAAAGCAAACACATTAAGACATTTGATCTATGCATTGCTATGCAAAGGATACTGGACAATACAAACTGGGCAATTCATGCTACAATGCTCTTTTCTCAGATCCAAGTATCATCATCTCCTGGTTTTCATGATGGAGTTTGGCATCCCCATCCAAAGAAGCTGGTCCATGTATCATTAATTCAGACAATGAAAAATATTTAAAGGAGCGTATACAAAGACTGAACACTTACTTGGAAACAAGCCACTTTTTACCAAGTGGGGCTGACTTCTGAGAAAACATGTATAAGATTAATGATATTTCTACACCAAATTTTCATAAATTCCATGAAACTAGTTGTTACATTTATTTAATAACAACATTCTACAGTTTCCACATTTATACATTATCATTAGGGGGATTTTTACAGAAAATATATCAAATATATTGGATGTTTAATTTTTTCCTCTGGTCCAGTAGACAATGAGCAGGTCTTTATAGAAATTTCAGGTAATTGTTGTACTATATGATGAGTCTTTAATGTTATTTCTAAACCATATTGAAGAATCAACTATTAGAGCAGATTTTTTCCAAAAAATAATAGCAACTATTGGTGATGCCAAAGTTTTTAAGGATGTTAATCAACTCCATGGTGCTTTATTTTTTAAAGATTGATTGATTGATTGATTGATTGATTGCAGAAGGGAGGACAGAATTAGGTGTGTGATCCTGGATCTCTTGATATTATAAATTTCTTAAGTAATCTTTATAAAAGTGCTATAGTCATTAGAATAAACTAAATTAAATAAGTTTTAATTTAAGAAAGCTATTCTTTTTACTGAAGCAACTCTTTCTGCCCATGTTAATTTAAAACACTGATGATAATTAATGCTGCAGTCCTATACATGCCTACTCAGAAGTAAACCCCACAGAGTCAACTGGACTTACTTCCAGGAAAGCAGGCATAATATTGCTAAGATTTATATGCCACCTTCCAATAAAATATTCAAGGCAGTTTACGAAATTTAACCAATTGTTCCATATGTAATTCCATATTTGTAATCAAGGATATATAATTCAAGTTAAATATCTCTTTCATGCCTGATTTCAACAAATATTACACATGTGATTATTAATATTTACTGCTATTAATTCTAATTTTGCCTAATTTATTTTAATCCAACTAATCTAAGATTTTTTTGTAGGAAAAGCCAGCATAGATACATCTAAAACCAAAATTTAAACCACTAAATGAAGATGAGAGACTTGCCCGTAGTTTTGAATAACTAAAAATTAACCAAATCAATTAACTTAAGAACTTCATCTTTAAATTATATTGCCAGTTTACTATTTCTCCAACTTTATTTGATGATTAACTTTGATTAACTTTGTTGATGCTTTGATTTTAGCATCGACAAAAACTCCTGAATATAGTTCATCCAATAATAAAAAATCTATTGATAAAAAGTCTCCCAAACCGCCTGATAACAGATTTTAAAAATACCATTCAACCTTGTTAAATGCCTTTTGAACATCTAGAACAAGCTGCAACCTACCAAACTCAATTGCTGACAGACATAACAATCTTCTTTGTTGCAATGTCCAGCAGGAAAAAAACAGATGTAGCAAGATCCTGGAGAACATACATATGCTTAATAAGCTGCTTTTGGCTTTGTCCTTCATTATAAGCTGCTTCATTCCCCCTCCTTCTCCAGTTAGGCCTCATATTTTCAACTAATTGTGATTAATTGTCATATCCAAACTCTTGTTAGTCTTTACTTCACTATAGTTTATGGAAACAAGTCAGATTCAAACAATGATTTACCAGGACTTGTTTCCTTAAACTTTACTTCAGTGTGGTTAGATTTCATCTCTGTTGAAACAGTGCTGGATGAGAGAAGGCTGGAGCAGACTCATTCCCTTAATGCTAAAATATGGTTTAACATTGCATCTGAATATAGTCTGTATCATTTTCCTTATAATTTCTCATACTTTGAACTCACAATAAATCCTTAAAGAAGAAAAACCGGTAATTAAAGGTGAATAAAACATAATGATGCATAGAATATGCTAGATCAGGAATTGCCCAAACCTTAAAAAGCAGATTTAGGAGGGGACAAGAATGTGGTACCACTAAAGATAATTCATTGCACCAGTGAGACATTTTTCTTCAAAGTACACCTTCAGCTACCTTGTGCTTATTTATTTTTATTTACCTGTAACTCTTGGTAACATCCCATTATTGTCTTATCTACTACCAAAAACCATTATCACCCCCTTTTCCTGAAAGTGGAATGTCAGCACACACATCCTTTGAGGCTCCCCGACCACAGTATTGCAGTGAAAAACCTCCTGCCTCACAAATCTCCACCATTATTTCTGAGTTGCAAAGGGCTTCCACCTGGGTCTTTGGTCTGCTTGCATTCAAACCACCAAGTGTTCACAAAATAAAATTAAACACAAAAAATCACAGTGTATCTCCCAGACAGAACTCACCTTAGGTTGTGTAATGCAAATATATGTATGTATATGTATAGCTATAACAACTTTAAAAAGGTAAAGGTAAAAGTTTCCCCTTGACGTTACGTCCAGTCATGCCTGACTCTAGGGGGCAGTGCTCATCTCCGTTTCCTAGCCAAGGGAGCCAGCGTTTGTCTGCAGACAGTCTCCATGGTCATGTGGCTGGCATGACTAAATACCGAAGTGCATGGAACACTGTAATCTGCCCACCGAAGTGGTACCTTTTCATCTACCTGCATTTGCATGCTTTCGAACTGCAAGGTTGGCAGGAGCTGGGATGCAGCACAGGAGCTCACCCTGTGCGCAGATTTGAACCGGCGACCTTTCGATCAACCAGCCCAGCAGCACAGTGGTTTAAACTTATGCACTGCCAAAAAGCAACAGTATGAATGTAAAATGTTACCGATCCACACCACTTCTATACCAAAGGGGTGCATGTGTGAGAGAGAATATATATATTTAAAAAAGACCAGAATTTTACAGTTTGGAGAAACTACAAGCTGCTGTGTTGAACTACTGTACAGAAAAACCTCAAACAGCAACTGTCCATTGTGTACAGAGTCCAGCTTGAATTATTGGAATCATCTAAATGAGTTGGGTTGTCTGGAGGTTTTGAGTGTGTGGCCATCAGTATGAGGATGTACACAGTTTTTTTTTTTTTCTCTCCTCCTCATCTCTGGGTGCATAAAATCAGTGGCTAGCAGTGACAACAGACTGGGGGAGGGCTAAAAAATGGAGGCACAAACCAGACAAAGTTAAGATGCTATTACTGGGTGATTCCTTGGAAGAAATAGAGGAAGCCCAGCCTGTTCTGAATTGCAGTCCCCTTGAAGGAGCAGGTCTGCAGCTTAGGGGTACTCCTGGAGCCATCCTTGACTCTTGAGGCTCATGTTACCTCTGTGACATAAAGCACCTTCTATCACCTTTGGCTCATGACCCAATTTACAGCCCAATCTGGATAGCAATAGCTTGATCTGAGCATTCAAATCTGTAATTAATGATCTGGTTCACTGCAAAGTTAGATTACTGCAATGGATTGTATTTGGGGCTGTTGTTCAAGATTGTTTAGAAACAGCAGCTTGTGGGAATGCAGCAGCCTTATCAATAAATTGGGACCAGAAGATCCCTCTATAAAAGACCAATTCTGCCTCACTCGCAATGGCTGTCTGCATACTTCTGCACCCAATTCCAGGTATTCAGTCTAATCTATAAAGCATTGCAGAGCATGGGACTGTCTCTTGAATGCCACCAGCAATTCTCTGACACCCCCTTGAGTTTCTGAAGGCACATTGCAGGCAGCTCTTTCATCCATTTCATGTTGGAAGAACTTTTCCATGCAGCACATGGTTAAACCATGGAGTCAACTGACCCCTAGAAATTTTCAAAACTGGTAGATATTACTTGTGTGCTTCAAAACTGAATAATGCATATGCTCATCTAGAGGGAAGGGGCTAAAGAGCCTTAAGTCCACGGTCTAGAGTTACCCAGCTGCACCACTGTCTCCTGACCTCTTAGCAACTTTCAATATAACTAGTAAGTCCTTCTGGATCACCTGTCTAGAACAGGGACTGGGGACAAGCATAACCCCCCGCAACATTCATGTTCAGTCATTGCAAAAATGTCTACAGAAAGTTTCAAGAAGATATTCATTTGGCATAGAGACAGCTTAACATAACTTAGAGAAAAGTAAAAAGGAAAACTTTCCTGAGACTTACCTGCCCAGACGAATCTGAAACTGTGTCTTTGCCTTCCTTCACTTCTCCATTCTCCACAAACGCAGGAATGTTGGGGCTGAAGATCATCAGATCATTCTTGGCACCCATTTCTCCAGCTGTGCTGGCCAGGATGTGGCTGTAGCGATTGGAGTAGGACCAGCTGCCCACTTCACTGGCACACACCAGCGTGGCTGTGCCAGGCCCACACATCACTGCTTCCTTGGGCTGGCACGAGCAGCGCAGGGCCATGTAGAGGATGACTGCCAGCAGGAACAAGCTGGACACCGCACAGATGGCGATGATCAGGTAGACATTAGTGTTTCCTGCAAGGGGTCTCATGCTCCCTTGTGCTCTGGGGTGGTGGCCATCTGCGTGAACAGCCTGAGCATGCACCACCAGTGATATGCTCAGTGTGGCTGTGGCTGACCGCACTGGCTTGCCATGATCCTTCACCAGCACCAGCAGACTCTGGCTGTGCCCATCACCCTCCAGCTCATCCACAACCCGCACAGTGCTGATCTCACCGCTGTACAGTCCTACTTTCCAAGGGCCACTCGTCGCCTCATGCAGCTCGTACTGAAGCCACGCATTGTAGCCTGAATCGGCATCCAGGGCACGGACTTTGCCTACAGTGTGGCCGGCTACCACAGGAACCACCAGAGAGATCGGAAAATCGTCTGGTCCAGAAACTGTTGGGGCATTGTCGTTCTCGTCCACCACGAAGACCTGGATGGTCACGTTGCCACACAAGGAGGGCATCCCGGCATCCCTGGCACTCACCTGGAACTCCAGCAGCTTCAGCTCCTCATAGTCCAGGGACTGCAGGGCGTAGAGCTTCCCGCTCTCTGAGTGCACCGAGACATAGCTGGCCAGTGGCCAGAGCTTCTCATCCATCCAGTAGCTGAGCAGGGCGTTCTCCCCCACATCCGGGTCCGTGGCAGATACTGTGAAGATGTGGGCACCGGGAGGGTTGTTCTCCCGCACAAAGACCATATAGGAGGGCTGGGCAAAGGCCGGGGCATTGTCATTGACGTCGCCAATGGGTATTACTAGGCTGGTGCTGGCTGACAGTGCTGGTGTCCCTTGGTCTCGGGCAGTTACAACCACTTTGTATTCTGCAATCTTCTCACGATCCAGCGTCGCATTTAGCAGCAGTGAGTAGTAATTCCTGAATGTCGATACCAGCTTGAATGGGAGTCTGGCAGGCCACAGGGAGCAGCTCACTTGCCCATTGTCTTTGTCTGAGACACTGATCAGGGCCACCACGGTCTCCAGTGGTGAGTCCTCTGGCAAAGGCACAGACAGGGATGTCACCGACACTTCTGGGGCATTGTCATTCGTATCCATGATTTCTATGATGACGTTGCAGTGACCAGACAGAGGGAAGGTTCCTTTGTCTTTCGCTTCAATTTCAATGTCATAAAGTTTCGTTTCTTCATAATCCACTTTTCCTTTTACCCTAATCTCTCCAGTCTCAGAATCTAGAGCAAATACATTTTTTACATTGGGGGAAACATGCTTACTGAAGAAGTAGGAGATCTCTTTATTCACTCCTTCATCTAAGTCTGTTGCACTGAGGTGAGTAACCAGTGTCCCATCTGCCACATTTTCTGACAATTTCACTTCATACACCGATTGATTAAACACAGGCGCATTGTCATTTGCATCCAACACAATGATCTCAAGATGGAGGGTGCCTGTGAGAACTGGTTGTCCCCCATCAGTAGCTGTGAGCACTAAATGGTGCACTGAGATTTTCTCTCTGTCCAGAGGTTTCTTTAATACAAGCATTAAGGATTTGCTGTGCCTGTCGCTGACTTTCTCTTCAACAGCAAAATAGTCAGTGGAACTGAGCCTGTACTTAAGCTGAGCATTAGCACCAACATCTGCATCTGAGGCTCCCTCTAGGGGGAAACGAGCCCCTGACAGCACCGACTCTGCAACACTCAAAACCTCTTCCATCTCGGAGAAAACGGGCGCATTGTCATTTACGTCCCTGATCTCCACTTCCACATGGAAGACCCTCAGGGGTTTGTCCAGGATCACCTCCAGATGAATGATGCATACAGGGCTCTGGGCACACAGCTCCTCTCGGTCTATCCGGGAATTCACAAACAAGATCCCATTCTGCACATTTACCTCCAGATAATCCTTGTGTTCCTTGGAAACCATCCGGAACATCCGCGGCATGAGCTCCTCCACCTCCAGCCCCAGGTCCTGGGCGATGCGGCCCACGAAGGTGCCGTGCTGGGATTCCTCCAGCACAGAATAATGGAGCTGGCCGCTCCCCACCTCCCAGGCTGCGTGGAGCAGCACCAGCCGCAGCAGCCGCAGTGTCCCCTGGAAATCTCCTTGCAGAACAGGCATGGCAAATGCAAGCTGTAGCAATTCTCTGTAAAGGCTCCGGCTGTAGCTGAGCTAATGTTGACTAACCTGGGTAGGAAGGAGCAGATTCCAGCCCTTTTTCATCCAGGGCGAGAAGCTCCCCATGTAGGATTTTTCTCCAGTGAGGAGGAGGAGCAAGTCCGTCTTTCAGAAGCCTTCTCGTTAGTCAATGGCTCCCCCTTGCGCTCAATGCGCCGGCTTGCACACATTCTGCAGCTCGTTCTTCAGTCCAATCAGAACTGCTTTGCTCTTCTGATCAGCTGTTGGTTTAGTTCTCAAAAATGAGTAATTTTAGGCGGTGCGCACATGTGACCCAAAACTGTGGGATCTAGAGGCGCAAGAGGAAGGACGGCATTGGCTTCCAAGGATGGAGCGAGGAGGCTTCTTTTCTGACTCTGCTGCGAGACAAGGAAGCATTGTGTCAGGTGCTTCATGACCCAAACCACAGAGGAGAGGCCTCCTGGCCAGAAGTCTGACAAAACACATGGTACGGCAGTTGCCGTCCGCTGGGACTTGCAGCTATGTACATGTCTGGTGTGGCTGAGCCCAGAAGAGAGCATATGCAGCATTCTGTAAAAACTACGATGCCACGAGGGACTTTGAGGCCATGGAGGAAGCGGGAGTCCTTGAATCTACACAAATTGGATAATCACAAGCTGGGATTTAGACCCTCCTCCTTGGAGATCTGGTAAATTGAACTTCTGTACTTTATGATCTACTTCGGGGCTGGTTATGCAGCACCCTTGCTCATTAAATCAGAAGGCCAAAATCAATAAATAAATTTAGAGCTCCAGGATGCTTCGCCTTCTTAAATAGGAAGAAAAGTGCATTCTTCTAAGTAAGGGGATTCCAAAATATGTAACCGGATATTCCTATTTCTTTCTTTCATAGAATTCTTGGCATGATTTTTGCTTGAAGTTTAATTGTCTCACTTTTGGAAAACCACTCAAAGAACTTTGACTATTGAGTGGTAAAGAGATCACATGAACTAAAATGCATAAATGCTTTCTGTAGCAGGACACCAGAATGTTCAGTAACATTTAGTAATATTTGCTCAGTAAATAAGTGCTTATATCTCCCTAATTATTCAAGCCATAAACATATCAAAATGAAATTATAAAATCTTGTCAAATCTTCCTTTTTCAATATGTGATGGATGGAGATGTACCTTTTTGTAAGATTTCTGTGTACTTTAATTGGGTTTCACAAACCATTGTGTGTTGCTTAGAGTTCTTTCATATTAAAAAAAAAAGTCCTAGATATACCTACGAGCAAACCTACACAGATATGCCACAGAATAGACGCATCTTCTATTTGCAACCCAAAACACCTCAACCAGATGATCCTGGGCATCCCATAGTTCTGGGAATTGGTACTGTCATAGGTGTCAGGCTAATTGGACTCCATTCCAGGACCAGATGCCACCAAAACTCCAAGCTAGTCAACTTATTACAGATGATCACTGATCTCCTGAAACAGCTACAATCCCTTGACACTGTCTCTGATAATGCAATCCTGGTTACCATGGATTTGAGGCACTTTCCACCAACACGCCCGCCCCCCAAAACTGGTGTCATCCAGCATCCCAATGAGCTCTGCCAATTTGCATTTTCCCATATTTACTTGAATGTTGGCAAAAACATGCATCTTCAGTTCGCTGACCTGCCGTGGGAACTTGCTTAGCTCCACAACATCCCATCCTATTCATTCCTGGCCTAGAACGGCATTTTCTCGGTCATCCCCCAGCTCTTGAGCCAGTGACGGGACTGGTACCCAGGAAAAAATGATTACAAAACAGTCCCAGAAGAGAAAACTCCAGAATGATCTTTGTCCCCACCTGTAGCTCCTGGCTGAAACAACCTAAACATGCCTTCAGTCATCCCATCCCAAATTACAACAGTTTCTTCTCACAGGCTGGGCTTGCCTACAAGCAGCCATGCCCAACCTAAAGTAGCTCCTCAACAGATCACATAATGAGCCAGAAAGGCAAGGGCCAGAACCCAGATGCCACCCTGTCCCCATATCCACTCTTGTGGCAGTATTATATCACACACAGGATCGGAGAATCTTTCATTTGCTTGTCTTCCAAGGCTTTACTCGGTCAGTGGTGCTTTTGCATTCTCATTGGCATCCAACCCAACGTTGGCCCTCCGATCTCTACAGAAAAGAATGAACGGACATTTCCCATCTGGCATCAGAAATGGCAATTTTTAAGAGCTGATGGGAGAACACATCAGCCTCCCAGGGCCCTCTGTCTCTCTGTCTCTGACCTCTGTCTCTGATCATTAAGATCATTCAGCCACTCTTAAACTGCTAATTACATATAACAAAATATGAATCCCAGATCATGATCATTTCTTATTTTTAATCTGGTAGTATGCTAATTGCATCATCAATAAATCTGTTTTGTGGGAACGTGAACAGTTAAATTTCTAACAATTTCTTTTTTACCATCACTTAATTTTACAAAATCAGAGCACAATTTCATTAGCATATCATGTATTTTTCATTATTTCTGATTGTTAGGCCCTTTAGAGCATTATAAGTTCTACTTTAAAAGATAACTTTCTGAAAATCATAGCATTTAAGCATCACAAACACTCCAAAAATAGAGGTTTGAGTATCCCTGAATGTTGTAGTCTCATTTTGCTTATTGTTTGGATTCATGAATCAGTAATAAATCTTCTCTGAAAAGACGCTTCAGATTAAGAACCTCATCTAGATTCAACATAGGATGGAATTATTGGTAGCAATAACATTGCTAGTAAGTGTATTTTTGAGGTGAAGGATTTGTGCTTGGCTAGATTGGCATATCACACATATTTCTTAAATGAACAAGACATCATGTCATTTAAAATCATTTGATTATTAAATTATTATCTATTCTTGTTGCTTTTATATTTTATTTTTATTGTTATTGTTAGATATTATTGAATAATTTATTTTTATCGTTTTATGGATTGTTGTTGTTGTTGTAACTTGCTTTTGTTTCTTGTTGATATGTTGAGTCATTGTTATATTTTAATCTTGTACACCATCCAGGAAGCTTTTAGGCTAATAACAATGGTAGAGGAATGTTTTAAATAAATACATAAATAAATAAATAATGTAGCAAACCCATTTTGTGGGTAAACTGATAGATAAACAGGAATGGGACCCACATAGAAGGTCATGAAAATAATATAGGATGAAGAGCTTGTTGATTCTACCATCATAGAAACAAAATTGACTGACAACTAAACAAAAATTTTAAGAATTAATTGTCTTTTTCTCTGACAACCAAATCCAAATTCACTATCGTAGAAATCAGTTTCACTGATTTGCAATTGAATTTGTTGAGGATAATTTCTCTTGCACTGGAGAAATGCACAAATTACGTAGATGCCGGAATACCAATAAAGATCTGTGTAATGCACCAGACTGCCTTAGCACGAAAGGACTGATATTCACATGGAGCGATGGCAAATCCTGAAGATACAGGATACCGCAGTTCACCAACCCTTTTATGAAATGGCCAGCCAAATTCATGGCAAGTTCACACAGAAGCCCCACTGATGTCAATAGGCCATTTTGAGGTAAGCCTAAGGTGAGGCATCCTCCATTAAATGGATATTCCACAAGGAAGCCGACCGGTACAGCCCATCCTCGCTGTTGCTAATGTGAAATGATGCCATGCATGCAATCTGCAGGTTTAAAACTACCATTTTAGTTATTCCCTCTCCTACTGGACGACTGCAAAGTGTCTTCCGGGCAGGAAAGCAGCGTTCCCTCACCATTTCTAGGATGCGAAGTGGAAGGCTGAGAATTCCAGGAGGAACACATGCCCCTGACACATGAATTTCTGGTGTAGGCATGCCCTGGCATGCCTTAATCTGCAACTAATGAGGAAGGGGCTTCTTCAAAAGAAGGACCTGTCAACCTACACGATGTAAGAGAAAACAAACACATTTTCCCCAAATAATCTATCTCGACCGAATGTCTCAGCACGGATACTTACAAGAATCAGGTGCAGCTCATATACTGCACTATCGTGAATGGACTGGCTGCACAGCATCCACCGAGCTGGCATGTCGAGGCTGGAAGGACATGGGCCTGCAGCCAGATGTGTAACCACACCTGGAAGCAGAACAGGGCACAGGACCAGAGGCCTTACTGGCCCCATGCAGTTCTACTGCCACTCCCGCCTTTTGCCTAATGCAGCACCGAATGAGCAGGGCAGACCCAATCTTCAGGGGAACCCGCGACCAGTACTAACCATTGCACAGAGCAGGTCCTGCTGCCGCCCGTTCTCGGCCGAGGCAGGCACGCTGGGGCTGAACACCATCAGGTCGCTCTTCGCTCCGGCCTCGCTGCCCACACTGGCCAGCAGGTGGCTGTGGCGGTTGGAGTAGGACCAGCTGCCCACCTCACTTGCGCACACCAGCGTGGCGGTGCCGGGCCCGAAGGCCACGGGCTCCTTGGCTGGGCAGGGGCACCGCAGGGCAATGTACGCAAGCACGGCCAGCAGGAACAGGCCGGACACCGAGCAGATGGCCACGATCAGGTAGAGGTTGGCAGCTTCCTCCGGGGCCCTCGCGCCCTCGCCAGGCCTGGGCAGCCGGATGTCCATGTGGGTGGCCTGTGCGCTGGTCACCAGAGACACGCTCAGGGTGGCTGTGACAGAGCGCTGCGGCTGACCGTGGTCCCTCACAAGGACCAGGAGGCACTGCTCCGGCCCGCCCTCCGCCTCGTCCACGGCACGCCGGGCACTGACCTCCCCACTGTACAGGCCCACCTGCCACGGCCCACCGGGGCCCCCGAGCAGCTCATAGCGCAGCCAGGCATTGTAGCCGGAGTCTGCATCCAGGGCACGGACCTTGCCCACCACGTGCCCCGCAGCCACCGGGGCCACCAGAGAGATGGAATTTTCCTCTTGCCCAGCCACGGCCGGTGCATTGTCATTCTCGTCCACCACGAAGATCTGAATGGTCACATTGCCACAC